CGCTCAAATCTATACCCTTTCATCGCTAACCGTCACTGCATCTGCTCTCTTCTTCATTGGGCTTTGGGTGCTCTGTATATAGTTCTTTCAGCTTCCCATCGAGCGTTTGCTGAAGCGGCTTAAACTCAGCCGAATTAAACAGGTTTAACTTTGGATATTGCAACTGAACTGTCCGGTTTAAACCACAAAACAGACTATACACGACTTCATGGCGGTATTCTTTACCGTTTCTCTTCCGTACTTCTAGCGTTAATCGGCTAAACCAGTGATTAATTTCGTCAACTCTCATCTCCTGCAAATCTGGCACACGCTTGAATACTTCACTCTCGGCTTCAAAATCACGAAACTCGGTATTTCTTGCCTTTGCCCATGCTTTATAAACATTAGTGCTCCACCTAGTGTGTTTGATAGTATTCGCAGGCGTTCTGTTATCTCTAACTTTCTGAACATCGACTTCCATAACAAACCAGAAACGTTTATCCGCCATATCATTCTTAGTGAGCGTCCAAAAACAAGAGTTGAGTTAAAAAGTAACTCATTTTATATGCATACATGCCCATGCACCGGCACTGACACACGTATATTAAGAATTGTTTATTCGCAAACGAATTTCCGACAATGGAAAATTGTTGTATACACCACTGATCATGCATTGTATTACACAATACTCGTACTATCAATTAATTTTGTACAATGAAAACACTAGCCTCACCTCGGTCATCATGGTATTACAAACTAATACCATGGTTTTTAAGAATATAGTGATTAAATCTCCCGCGAACCGAGGTGGTTTGCGAAAGTCCCTCGGGACGCCTTCGGGCTTCGCCCTCAGGCTTTCCCTCAGGCTTTCCCTCGGGACTTTCACAAACCTCCCTCGGTTTGCGGGAGATTTAATCACTATATTCTTAAAAACCATGGTATTACTTATAAATAGAACTCGAAAACTAGGAGAGATTTGGAGTTGCTATTGAATATCCTACATTATTTTTGGTCAGAATTAAGCGTCCCTAATGACTTACCATGCATGCATTTTATTAATGTGCTAAAAATGGATTTTAATAGTAACCTTATCAGTTGATAAAATGATTTCAGTTCGTGTTTAGATATTTCTCAAAAAAACCTCAACTTTGTAACTATATAATTGTTAGTTGGTCATTTTACTGGAAGAGAAACTAAATAAATTTATGTTGAATTTACTTTACTATATGCTGAATAGTTCAATCAGATTCAATCTAGGCTACACGATGCTTTTGCGCGGAGTAATGTTTTGTTTTGGTTTTTATGATTTCAAAACTGTTGATAAGGTCCTTCTCTCAAAATATCGACGACCCTTCACTCAAAACGTCGAAATTCTCATATTTTTAAAGAAGTTTCATCCCAACTAACGAAAGCTTGTTTTAATCCTTCATAAGAACCACTCTGAAGTTTGAAATCCTGTTCAAGTTACCAGGCGAAATCTCAGTTATTATAGAAACGTATATAGTGATAGTTTTCCCAGGCAACTGTTTACATTGTACAACTGACTAACTCGCCTTGACGAGTTGCCGGCAGAACGGGGCTAGATGAGTATTTTGTTATATGAAACGTAACATTAAGAGTCGTTCAATTTCAGTAGTACGTACTGAATTTGTTAAAGGCTTCCAAAGAGGAAATGGCATCTTTCATGGGAGAAACACGAGAGGCTAGTGGAGAAAAGAAACCTCAAGAAGAGGATAGTAAACCGAGCAAGGTAGGTATCTTTATTAAATACAAAAATTGGTTCAGTTGTGCTAAAATAGAAAAACAGAGAAGTCGGGAAAACCAAATGTGCATGTTCGAGTCAAACTGAAATTGATACAATTGAAAATAAAACTGAACAAAATTGAACAGCTCTACCAAATCGGTAAAATGTTTCCTCATAAAGGACCAGTAAATGCCAGTGGGGAAGCTAGCCTTGGCAACAGGTAGCCTAACGCTATGTATTTTAATGTTTGCATTATTTAAACCTTTAGAAATATACTGTCTTTGCCCTATTCAGATGCAGGTTTATTAGCATAGCATAACCAGTTATACCATGTCTAGCCTTGACACTGTTATAAATGCCTTTTCTCATATCGATCCAGTCATTACTGTACAAGCGGAAACCTTAACTTGCGAGAGGAAACCTTGCATATAACATGATGTTAATGCAAACAATGCATGGTATAGTATAAACACTACGTGACTGTTATGTAGTGGGAGACTACGTGTTATATATATAGTGTTGTAGGAACACTACGGCCGGGTTATGTATAGTGGAAATACTACGTGTAATGTAGGGCACTCTCCATACATTTGACAGAAATTCCGGAAATCGTGCTAGAAAATCAAATGAAACACGTTAATTTCTGGAATGCTATTTCAAAAATTTCGGACAGTCTCGAGGTTGCTCACAAATTGGAAATTCCGGGAGTTTCGAAATTTTTACTTTGCGTTAAATCATTTCCCAACCACGTTGCTGCTTTCCAGTCTTCGACGAGCAAAAACCAACACCAAAACCAAAATGACGGGTTCTCGACCATTTCAGTGCCTCGAGTCTGGATTTATTTCGCAGAATGCTGAAAGAAGAGATTTGAGCAGCAGTGTCAAATTTTTCAAAATTAAAGGAACATCATTGCAGAAATTAACGTGATCCATTTGATTTTCAAGCAATTAAGATTTCCGGAATTTCCGTCAAATGGAATGCGCCCAACAAGCCTCCCATTAGTTACAAGGCCTGTCAGCTGTAGCGTTCCATTTTGCCACTAGACCGTCCGCAAACACAAACTGTTTTTTTCTTCAAATGGAAAACGCCCGTAGTGTTGTAGGAACACTACGTAATATTATGTATTGTAGTGGTAACACTACGTCTAATAAATGTATGACATTACACTCTCAATTTCCATTATACAAACCATTCAACACGTACTTAGTTCTATCGAGTCGTATACTTCCCAAATCCAGATATTTACCCATACATCCTTAATTTACTTTCTCTATGTGTATACAGCTAATTCAAAAAAGGTTGTTCTTTGCAAATCTTAAACTCTAAACCTTATGCTCCGAGCGTATAAATTAGCATAACGGGAGCATCATTTAATCAGTTTAGAAATCATATATGGGGCCCATTTCTTAGAGACATGATAAATATCTCCTTACAAGAACAATTCATTCACCAATAGCTGCAATATTCAACTACTATTTTATAAGCTTGAAACTTGTGCTCTCATTAAGCTTTGTGGCGTTTGTGCACTTAAAGTTTAAGGTTTAAGGTTTAGAGTTTAAGGTTTGCAAAGGACAACTTTCTTTGAATTGTTGCATACAACTGTATACAATATGTTTCAGGTTTCTGAGCCTACCAAAGAGTCCGTGTGGATTATGGAAACGGAGCCACATGGAAGATCGGTGACGAAAAAGCCAGGAAACGATAATCAAAATAACGAGGTATAGGCTACTTTATACTAGGAATTGTGCAATTCTTCTTAGTAGATTATAGTCAGCAGTGTCAAGATATTGAGTGTCGTGGTGTCTAAATCACTGGAAATGGATTGAGCATTTCAACTCTGTCGTGAAGAAAGCCAACAAACGTTTGTATTTCCTAATTTTTCTTAGGTGTGCAAGCATTCTTGCTGAAAATATCCTAAAATTTTATTGCACCTGCATCAGATCTGTTCTTCAGTATTGTGAAACCTTGGGGGGGGGGGGGTGACACCCCTGTTTCTATCTCATCGGGTATGCCCGTACAATTTAGTCGGGCCGAAATTTTGAAAATATTGCAGTGTCGCAGATTTAAAAGTAATAGCGGTAGGAAAATGTGGTAGTGAAAAATGCTCCGCACACCAACAATTTTGGGAAAAGAAATATTAATTTGCGACTGATCAAATGTTCGTCCCTCAGGAACGACTTCAGAAACACCTTTTGGTCGAGCAAAACAAGCTCACCCCCCGGCCGTAATACCAAAGTTTCGCCCCTGTTGGAGAGCCCCCCTTGTTAACATTCCAGGACTACACCTCTGCTTGCATGCTCGTGGCAATCTATAGTTGTAGCAAACTTTCGTATCAAATTGTAGGCCGAAAATTACACCAATTGATTATAAATTAGTGCCGTTCTCATTGTTTGAATGCATGGTCTTACTTTATCAGAATGAGCTCCTGCACCTTTGAATTTACTATATGAGTGAACTCTTAAACACGTCCGAATTTATCATTATGATAAATTCGCGGCACCTAACCTCGAACTTTTTTAAACGTTTTTGGAAATCTAACTTTTTAAACCCCCTTTTGCTTTTTTAAGCCTTTTTAAACTTTTTTGGGACTTCTTCAGACTTTCTTTTGAAACCAGTCTCCCTTTTAGTGACATTACATTTATAACATAAAGTCTTGTCTAATGCTTGTGGTTTTATTATTAACTCTACTGATAAATTCAAAATGTGCTACGAATCAGTTATCATATTGATAAATTCGGACGTGTTTATTTATTTATTTATTTATTTATTGTGCTTCGCTTCCAAACATTATACAATGAATGCATTAAAGAAGCTGGGACACCACAACAGCTTAACACCAATTACAGTGGGCCCTTTACAAAATATCAATATAAATATAGAAAACAGAAATAATTAACAATTTATTGCCGAAGGCTAGGTGATTATCGGTAAGTAGGGAC